AGCTGACGCCTCTTCGGGAGGAGGTGAGAGGTTGGGCTCTTTTCTGTGGGCGTGCGACTTTGAATGGCGAAGCTGCTCTTAAGTGTTTTGGTGTCTTTTATGCTGCATCTGTTTACTTCAGTACTCTTTTCCAACATAAATTGTCAATAAAATTATACATGTGCCATTTTAGTTAAGGCACGAGCCTGCTCTAAAATTATGCTTTTGTAACAGTTTGTAGTGCATGTTTGGAACTGGCTTGCATCCTAAATCCTTCCTTTCTTCATATTTTGATTTTCGATTCGTGTGTAATCATTTCTTTGACCAAAGGTTTTGTCAACTATAGTACTTTTGCCCATGAAGTACAAGTTAGTTAAAGATTATGTTGTTTACCTGGTCCTATCGCTGCTGCTGCTGCAGTGCCAATGCTGGCGCCAAGGACGTTAAAAAGGACGATGTAGATGAATGCCACGGTGCTAATTTTTCCGTTCTCCTTGGGATCTAGCTTTGCAATAACTAAAATAAAGAAGACTGGTTCAATTTTGTTATAAAATGTTGTTGTGATTTTGAAAGGAGGCAGCATCTGACCCTACGGCTGGCATCGAATCTCGTCTAGGCGGAGCTTGACGATTATATCAGCATTTCTCATAAACTGTTTCGTACAGCATTAGCAAACATTAGTTCTGATATGTTGAAGGTCTAAAACACTTTTTTGTTGAATTAATATAATTTTGAGCCAAAACTTATGCGCCCTTTTTGCATAAGTGCAAAAATACGTTTATTTCGAAAACGATATACTAAATGTTGCAAGGTTAGAGTTAAAACCACTTGAGTACTTAAACGTGCAATTGCTGCTTTCGTCTCCTTGGTATGAGCTCAGTGAAATTCTTAACTGCAAGAATTTGTTGACCGTCTTAGACTACTTGTTGAGAACTTTGGGGGTGAAGAGGGAGTGAAGGGAAGACGTGTGCCAGTCAGGTTAACCGCCACGCAGCAGGAAACACGCGATGCTATCAGGAGCGTGAAAGTTATTGCCATGTGCGTAATACGCCTTCTGACGTGATAGCTAAACCCATGCACCATATTAGAGGTGAGAAGCGCAACGGTAGTTTAAGAATCTTATGTGGCGGCAACAGAGAGAGCATGGAAAATGATACAGCTCTAGTGAACACAAAATGACACACCACAGATAGAAAATTAGTTCCAACTTTGGTGACTGATACATCAAATAAATTGGTCGTACTAACAGACCAGCTTTACTTTCTAATTTTTCGAAAAGAATGCTTCAGCCCTGAAAACAAGGAGCAGAATTACATTAACTGTTTTAATAAATTCATTTTTTCTCTCCACTTTGATTAAGCAGCTAACATTTAGCATTTGTTATATACACACACACACACACACACACATATATATATATATATATATATGTATAGGCTAATGTGCTTAAGTCGCTTTTATAGGGAAGAGGTGATAAACGAATTCCACCACGGATCCCGTACGTGAGGTACGCGAGGATTCATCCTCGGAGTAACGATGGACTGTTGTGTTATCCACGCTCACACTCTTTTCCATTCCGTACAGAATGCCTACTAAACCAT